TAAGATTCTAATATCTTATATGGTTACTACTAGTGTGCTGACATAACGTTTTATCATTACTATGTTTTGGGTTTTATCACATGATGTAACTGATATTGATATAAATTGTAGATTAAAACTGTTGAAACAAAAACAATAAAACTACTGCACAGCATGGACTAAAAGATCCTCTTTATAATACCCTTCACGATTTTCAGCGGCCTAGAATGTATTGTACCCAGGATACTAAAGATGGATAAATTGAAAATAATCGTACTTGGAATGTAAAATACCCGTGGGTACTAAGGACCGGTTAATTGCACTTGGGAATGCACAGTAAAATATCCGGTTATTAAGGACTGGTTAATTGCACTTGGGAAGGCATAGTAAAATACCCGGGTGCTGAAGATAATGTAGAGTTATTGGATGCGAAGCAGCCAATAACGGAAATTATTTGGAAAATAATTTATTATCTGGCTGTTAAGTTTAATATGTCAGCTTCAGGGGCCGAAGGGGCCCTGAAATGATGCATATTAAATTCACAGCCAGATAAACGAGTTATTGGCTGAGTAGCATTCAATAACGGTATTATCCGGTGTCTTACTATGATCGTACCAACAGAATGACTCGAGTTCTTTTGGTGATGATTGCGTCATCATCAAATAACGGAGTTATTTGATAATGATGCAATCATCATCAAAATAACTCGAGTCATTCTGTTGGTACGATCATAGTAAAGTGCCGGATAATTAATTGTACTTGGAATACATAATATCCCTTGATTTATAGTATTCACCTATATATCTTAAATATATATAAATTAAAATGGGTAGCTGTACTTTATAAATTTTTTTTAATTTAGAGATCATTTATTATTATATAATTTTTGAGTTGCAAAATTTTATTTATCAAAATATACAAATTGCACATTACAATTGAAATAATTTTAGTTGTAATTTCTAATAATTTAAGTTTTTAATGAAAAAATAAAGCTTATTGTAATTTATTCAATTATTGAAATAAAAAACCCTTGATAATCAAAAATATATGTATTGACATACAATATTGCATAATTATATGTACTATACAAACATAATTGTATCAATTTTTATTTTTTTTTAAATTCTATTCAATATCATATTCCTGATTTCTTATTATAATTTAATTCTTTATTGAAGTCAAGATTATTATTGAAAGTATTTTCTTTTTCTTTAAAACTTTCATCTGTGTTATTATTATTATTAAAATCAGATAAATAATTATAATCAAATATTTGATTATAGAAACATGCAAAAGAATAGAAATTTCTTTAACAGAAATTAATCTAATTACAAAATTATGTTTTTATCAATCTGTCAGAATAATCATTACTCATGACCTTACCTTTTTGATACCAATCAATTTTAGAATTGCACAAAGCAAAACTTACTTATCTCTATTATAAAAAATCTATTATAATCTTATACTCTTTTTTATTTATAAAAAATATTAAACCTATTTATTCAAAATCTCATATCAATCTCCAATTGATATTATAACTAATATAATACCTTTAATAATTATTCTTCTATTAGTCTTTATAAATAATATTATTTAATATTGTAAAAGTATTAATATAATACAAAATATTATAAATAATATCTTCATATTATATAAATGTAATAATATAGAAATTAATATCACAAGATCTGATTTTTTTATATATTTTTATTATTATTATTATTAACATTATATTCAAGTGAAAATTTTATTACTGTATAAAATCATAAGTTCTAAATTTAAAAATTTCTAAAATACATTTGTGTTACAAGTAGGCATCCACTGTAGCATTACATTTCCTATTTTCTATGAATGCTATAGTTAATTATTTCAAATTAGGTTTCAGCTAAGATAGGTTGAAGAAGATAATTAAGTAATTGTTTCAACATTAAATTATACAAGTTATAAAAAAGAATCCTAAAAGAGCTATTTTGTAATTAAAGAATTAGTATTTATAAGTTAAAAAGAAATTGTAGTATTGTTTAAAAAATTGGGTAAAGTTAGTAGACTGATTTTAGTATGTTTAAATATTAATATAATGTTGCAATAATGTCTCTATTAGTGTTGTATATATTATAAATAAACCTAAGTTCTTGATAAAAACAGTTAAATAGATTGTTTAAGAAGTAAGGTAAAAAAATATCTGTTTGTTTATTAGTAAGTATTTAAAGTTATCATATATAATAATAGAATTAGTTTTAGTAATAACAAATAAAATATATTTGTATTGAGGATTTGAAAAATAAAGTATATATTTAAAAAGAATTTTTAATAAAGTTGTTAAGACTATATTAGTAATTTGAAGTGATAGAAAAGTATTATATATAATGTTTTCAAGTGATTGTAAGATATTTGTAGTATTGCTGAAGTATAAGAATAGATGAAGAGTATTTTTAATGTTTGTATATCAAAAACAATTAGGTATATATAATATAAAGGTAAAAATAATGAATATTAAGTTTTTGCATTCTAAATAAGTTATTTGTAAGAATTTTGATATAAAAAGAGTATTTTTGTAAATTATCTTTAAATAAAAAGATAATTTTAAATATAAATAACTATTTAATATTGATACTATTTTAAAAAATTTTAAATTTGACTATTTGGTAATTTCTTGAATAGTTATAGTATTTTTTTTTTTTTTTTGGTATTAAAATGACCTCTTTGGTCTTTTGACTTTTATTAATTACTTATCAGTATTGTGGTTCAATGAACTACTACAGGAGAGTGTACAATTGGCTACATGTGTAACTTTTCTATATTACCTATTTAAAGAGTTCACCTGAAGGTTCTCTATCAATTGCTGTATCTAACACCTCTGCTTGGGTGTTCCACTTTAAACCCTCTAAACCTGTAACTTGTGTTAACATCACTGGGTTATTCCAGATGCCCAAATCATCATCTCAACCTTAGGACTAATTTATCCTTTAGGTAAACCCCCAAAGCCTTCTGTACCTACTTTTATAGCTGATCTAGGTATCGCTATAGCAGAACTAACACTTGCAGTCAGGACTGACCATTAAACTGCTATGCCCTTGTAGAGTTTACACAAACCCTAGCATCTACTTCACAGCATATCCAAAATACTTTAGTATATCTCTACCAGTTCACCAAACTCCCAATTCAGATAGCCTGATAGGACTTACTACCGGTTTATTGGTATATCAGATCGGTCCAATATCCTTTTCCTTCGGCTCGATCTGACAGCCTGGTTGGTAGTACCTTCCACCTAGAGGTTTTTGCCTGTCTGGCTACTTCAACCTTGGTATCTGTTTCATAAGGCTAGCCTTTACAGTAAGGCCATCAAAAATCTGGCTACCTCTCTATTCAGGTCTTTCCAAATAAACTTCTTGTTACCTAATTTCAATGGATTTACATGGCTACAAGGACTTATTTAGTGTTTGCACCACTTATTGCCAGTTTGCATTTATTCATATAACCACAACCTTGTCCCAAAGGATGATGTCATGTGACCTGTTACATGAATGCCCCATGACCTACTAGTTATGCTAGTGCGACTGCCATTACAGGTATTCTAACCCAATCATTAGTAACATTTGCTGTAATATGAATATTACATAGATGATTATTCAAATTTTCACCGTAAATGGGATTTGAACACCTAACCTACTATTTGGAGGGTTGACAACCTGACCATTTCACTAGGTCATCACACCCTTAATAGTATTTTTGATAAAGGTATAAATTTTAAAAAGAAATAGAAAGTTGTTTTATAACAAATAATTTGAAGTATTAAATTGTAAATAATTAAGTTTAATAATAAATTTTGTAGTTTCTTATTTAGCAAGTAAATTTGCTTAATTGTAAAATAAGTTTGTAGAATGTAATTTAATTTTGTAAAAAGTAGTAGTAATATTTTTAAAATATTTAAAATAATTAATATTGTAAATAATATCCTATTTTAAGTTTATATAAATTTGGAAATAATAGCTTATTAAAGTTTTAATAGCAGTTATGTTATAAATATAAATATATAAAAAAGTATTAGATAAAACTGCAAATAAAAAATAAAAAATTGCTTTAAGTTTAATGTAAATTGAGTCAGAATAAGATTGTATAACTGTATTGAATTTTATAAATTTATTATATTTGAAAATCTATCTTATACAAGACTTGACATCTGGAATTTGAAGATTTTTAATTATATAAAAGTGTAGTTTGTTTATATCAAGTAAGTAATAAGATAGTTAAGATCAAATAATTATTTTTAATATATTAATATATAAACAAATTGTTAAATAAGTTGAACATTATAAGATGGTAAAACTATTTGTAGTTATAATAATAAGAATGATTAAAAAAAAGTAATATTATATATATTGATTAAAGCTAGAATTTCTCTAAAATCAATTTGGTTAATTGTTTAATTATTTGATTTTTTGTTTAAATTATAAGATAAATAAAAAAAATAGTAATTTAATATTAAGTAACAAAGATTAAAAGAAGCTGTAAAAAATCTAAATAAATAAAAAAATTTTAAAAAAGAAAGATTAATATAAAATAGTTGATTATTTATTTAATAAAGTTGGTAAAAAGAAGATAAGAGTAGTAATATTAATTTAGTTATGTTAAAAAAGAGATTTATAGAAAGTAAATTTAGAATAAGCCAAGTTAGATTAATAATATTAAATTAGTTTAGTTGTAAAGTTTGATAAACTATTGTAATTAATAACCTTTAGTAGATTTATTTGTATAGGTAAATATTGTTCTATAGAAGAATATTTTTGTTATCTGCAGTTATAATTTGTTTTAAAAAAATAATTTTATTATTTCTAAGACTATTAATAGTAAGTATAAATAGATTAAAAAAAGAATATTATAGATAATATGTGAGTTTTTTAAAGATAAAGAGAGATTTGTAAATTAATTAAAGAAAAGATATTATTTAAGGCAAGTTGAAAAAGATGAAAGAGTAAACTATAGTTTTGTGTTTTATATTTATTAATTTAAATTATTCAATATCAACTAATTAAATTATGCAACTATGTTATACAACTCTGATTTGTAATTACAACAAATGAACTAATTATTACTAATATCTATAATTTTAATATTATTTTTATTGTTTATAACTTTATTAGCATTATTAATATCTATTATTTCTATATCATCATTACTAATATCTATAATATCTATAATTTCATTATTATCATTAATATCTATAATTTTATTGTCCTTATCAATATCTATACTTTTATTATCCTTACTAATATCCATAATTTTAATATTGTCATTCTTGTATTTATTTCTGAAATCCTCTAATCTGCTACTATTAGCATCATTATTTTTATTTAAATTATTTGTAATACCATATTTTATAAAAGATTTAGTAATAATATTATTTGGTATTTGTTTTCAAAATTTTTTACTCATTCACATATATTGCTTATTCTAGCACATTTAAAGTTTTCAACTGTGGTTTTTTTAACACTACCTTTTGCTATCCAAAGATGCTATTCTTTACAAAAATTGTTTTTAAATAGTTTATTAATTGTAATATCAAGTGGTTAACAAATACTGTTCAAACCATTTAGAATAACTGCTAAATCAATACTATTGTCATAAAATTTTTTTTTAACCAAATCTTCTAAATGTTCTTTAAAAGAATCTATATTATTAGTGTTGTACCCTCATATTTTTGATTAGTTTATATGTTTATAATATATTGTACTATTAGGTCAGAATTTATCTATCTATTATTTTGAAACCAAGCAATAATACTAAATAAATTTTTTTCATTATATGGTAATTACTGATCAAAATTTTTTAATATAAAAGGCCAATATAAGAAAAATTGTTAGATGAAATGTCAAAAAACAAATATTTAAATATCATATAAAAGAAATTATTAAAATTAATAATATCAACAAACTATCAGCTTCAAATTATAGAATGATAAAAAATATTATAATAAAATTTAAAATTTAAACTAAAATCAAAATGATATAAGATAATTAATATAATCATTAATAAATATTAAGTAATATTAACAGATAGCTTAATGATTATTTAAATTATGAGAAGATATTAAAACAAATAATATAATTAATAATATATAAATCTAACTAGACAGATATAATTTATATTTAAAAAGATAATAACTAATAAATAATAATATAAAAAATTAAAAATAATATAATACAAATATATAAAATATTATTATATAAGCTTAATATTAAGATGATAATTTATAATTAATAAATTTTACTAAATTCATTAAAGGATAAAATATGATTTAATAAAAATTAAGAAGATATTAAAATAAATAACAAACTTTTATAAATATATATAAAAACTAGAATAATATTTAGTATATTAAAAATGATATATTACTAATAAATTACAATATCAAAAAATTCTCAAAATAACTTATCAATATATAAAATTTTATTATATAGCTAAAATACTTTTAAAATATTGTTGAAGGCAGTGGGTTAATGTTTTTTTTTGGTTTTATAATAGGGGCAAGAAAAATGCGACGGATTGTCACTCAAAAATACCAAACATCACAAAACGTTGCATCATAAAAGAGGCAGAATGATTTGGCAAGGCTAAGGCATGAGTGCAAGGTTTAGTTTATTGCTAATGACAGTTTTTTATTATTAATATGATTGTTGACTCTCTTAATTCTCTCTCAAAAAAAAGGCACTTATATACAAGAATGGCATCCCACAAAAGAGATGGCACAGGGGCCCAAAATCCAACATTTTCCTACTGAACTTAATGGTTTCAGATCCATCATTACAATCAGGACCTTGAATGGCCTCATGTAGCACAAACAACTAGCCCAATCTGGCAGATCTCCTCCAACAAACAGCTATAGTACCCAATTCTGCATCATTATAGCATTGTTTCAGATGGGTGGCTTGGCTTCCAAGTTTCTCAAGATACAATCGATGCACAATTGTTTGCTTGTTTTAGGGGTGTTCTTACTGTAAGGGGGCATGGGTCAAGATGGCACTAGGTTAGAGCAACTCTGGTACCCATTTTGCCTGTAACAATAGCTAACCCAATATCACTATGGCTAAGACCAATACTAGTAATCAGAGCATACTATTAAACTGCTATGCCTTTGTAGAGTTTACACCAATCTTAGTACTAATTTTACAACATACCATTTCTGTTAGCAACCTCCAAAATATTGGACCATTTTTCTACTACTTTGATATTCAATTTAAGTTCCTCCAAGCTTTCAAATCAGATAGCCTAAAAAGGCAGATTGTAATTATACATTTCTGGTTTACATGTTTGCTGGCATGTAATCTTTTTCTCTAAAATGGGTCTTGGTAGCCTGATTGGTTCCATTTGGCCTTTTCTCAAAGGCTGGTTTTGTGTCTAGTTTCATGAGTTCTAGCTTTATTTTATAGGTCTAGTCTTTACAGTAACATTATTGAAGATTTGGGTTATTTCTTTACTCAGGTCTTCTAAGTAGGCTTCTGTCTTCCTACCTGGTTTCTGTGATTTACATAACCTAAGGACTTATCTTGAGTTCATACTGTTTGGTACCAATTTGTGTTTCTTCATACAACATTGTATGAATGCCTAGACCTTACAGTTATGCTGGTATGATATAGATTACAGGTGTTTTATTCTAACCAATTATGGAAGACAGTTAACTGTAATACAGAAAGAATTGCAAATTTTTGCTATTACTGGAATTTGAACTCTAGATCTGCCACTTGAGGGTTGACAACCTATTTACTTTACTAGGTCACCATATTTAATATAATTAAATATAATAAATACAACCTAGCATATATATTATAAATATGTATTACTGATTTAATATGACAAAAAAAGGGTTTATATTTTAAACAAATAATTAACTTGGATAACTCAAGCAAATACATATGTATGTACATATAATCTTTAGTTTGTACATATAAGTTTTTTTGTAAGCATCCCTTATTGAATATATAGAAAACATATCCCTTAAACTGTAGACCATTTCCAGGCAAATTTGTCTGAAAAATTAACAAACATATACTTATGATCTATATTTTTTAAATTTTAAATATTTAAATAAAATTTTGTTTAATAATATTTAAAAATAAGGATTATAATATAGTAATATTTAATTTTATATTAT